TTTATTATAATTAATGTGCTCTCGTGTGATGCATGAGAATATATTGAACTAAAAATTAAAGTAAACAATATAACAATGTTCGTTTTATTAAAATATAAAATGATAAGTGAACATAGCATGACGAATTCTATGTACTCTGTAAGAAAGAAATCATAGATTTTATAGAAAAAGAATATAATAAGGGGAGATATATATATATATATGTGTGTGTGTGTGTGTGTGTGTGTGTGTATATATATATATATATATAAAACTTAATACTGAGTGTAAAGGATGAGCAGAATGTGTTGGTGACAGGCAATCAAAAGGAATTTTACCTTGTCAACGTTTGGAATTCAGTTGAGTTGAACAAAGCTCTCATAAAACGGAATCATCATTGGACGAGTGATTGATGTATTAGGCCAGTTGACACCAAGATACTTCAACTTTCCAGTATCACGGTCAAACACCACTAGCTCATCTGTCAGGCTTGTAAAATACAATAGCTTACCGTCCAGCGAAAACCACAACGGCTCCTTAACAGCACGAGTTTCGATAACAGATTCTCTCGTCCACGATCCATCCCTCATGACCCAAAGATCAAATTTCCAAGGTACATATGGATAGAAATTACTTTCAAGATCCCAGCATTCAAGAGCACTTAACAATCCTTTATACTCTAGAAAATAAAAATGGTTCCAGTTATTGTTAGGTGCAGGTAAACTGGATACTGTTTCAGTAGAGAAGTCAAATGAAAGGATATGTTCCAAAGATGCTCTCCAATAAAAAACACCAGATACACAAGCACACCCACTAAAAGCACCAAACTCAGTGCATGGTAGTCTCTTCCAGGAATTAGTTTTGAGTGAATACAAGTGAATGTGATAACTACTCCCAAGAAAATGCAGTTTTTCATCTTCCAAACTTCCTTTAACAGTATACAGCATTTTGTAATCTTCAAATCTAGGATCAGACCACAATCCAAATGATACACGCGCATATTCAAGGCCAGGAGGGAGTTCCAGAAAGGGCTTAGGAAGGATCTTATACTCAGTCGTTGTTGGGTTCCAAAGAACATGACCCAACTTGTTATCATGGAAATGAAGGAGACCATCACAGCTACACCCATCAAAGAAATTACCTTTAGCTAGAAAACTGGGAGGATATATGTAATACTTGGGTGAGATGATGCCATCCTCTTCAAGGGAATATGCAACAAAACATTTACGAAGATTATCATCAAGGGAATAGACAAAAATGTCAGGCTTTGGCTTAGGGCAGAGGTCTGCCTTCCAATGTTGTAAGCATGATGACAATGATGTACATTTTCTCTCATATATGTTGGGATCAGGTAGCCCATAGTAACCTACATAATAAAAATGGAAACATAATATGAACATTTTCAGATTTGAAAAAAAAATAAAACTTCTTGTAATTGATGGTATATAGCTAGTGAGGGGATTTATGATGAGCTTAGCTAACAAGCATTTACTAGCTGTGCTGTTGAATGCTTGCTTCTTTTCCATATTACTAGTTTCTTATTATTATTGTTTTCATTTTCATCTGTTTTCCCTCTTTTGACCCAACTTTGTGATTAGCTTTTCAAGAAAGATGTGTGCTTTGTTAACATGTACTATGTATCAAGTAAATGCTTGGTGGCTTTTTATCTCTTTATGTTTTCTCTACCTTAGTTCGCTCTTTGCTTCTTTGTTCGTGCTCTGTGATTTATGTATTGCTCGAGTTGGGGGTCTCTTATGAGTAAGAGTAAGGTCTGCAAACGCGTACCCTCCCAAAACCCTATTTTTTTGGATTCTACAGCGTTGTTGTTGTACCAAGATCTAAAAATACAACACAAATAGTGAATAATCTAATTGTAACATGATAAACATGGAATTCACTTTATTATTCAAAAATTTTGCAAATACCTGAGCGTTCACACAAAAGATTTGGATAGGGTTTGAATAGCTTCTTCCCCGTAGGCGGGGCACCCTGGATTCTAGTATTTTCCCTGGAATAAATCTTGGCAGCTTCCGCCTCTCTAACAAAAATTAAAAATTTCCTAAATAATGAACAGTTTAACAAGTACTATCCAGACAGAATTTGATAAAAGAAAGAAAATAGAACCTGGGGAAGGATTTAGCTCGGGTTCCGATACCCGGCCCGGAACAGCAATTGGTAGTTCGTACACGGCTGCACAAACGAAGGCAGCGCGCGGCGGAGGCACCCAAGTCGCTCAAGAAGGCAACCATGCTTTCCCTAAAGATAAATTAGGGTTCAGATTTCAAGGAATCAACGAAATATGCTAGCCACATATTTATCTCTACGACTAATCTGCAGAAATTACTAAGCAATTTAGGGAAGAGAAATATCAGAGTGAAGAAGAGGCGCTGTTACACATTTAAATGAAATTCTTTAATTATTTTTTTATATAAATATCAAACTCAATCTTCAATCATATTCATCTTTCCTTTCTTCAATATTCAATTCTTATTATTCTTCACATCTTTCATAAATTTTTGTTCACATGAATCCCTCCGACTCCGATTTTTTCCTCGCCGATCTCGAGCCAAACGAGTACGCGAAGTGGATCTTCCAACAATATATTGTATTTTATTTAGATAAAATAATATTTCGAAAATATCTTATATGATAAAACTAATAAAACTATTTTTGTATCAATATCTAATATCATTTTTATTTAATTTGGAATTAAAATTTACTACTCCCTCCGTCCCACTGTGTTTGTCCACTTACCTTTTGGCACACCATCCAATGCATTTATTTAATCCATTTTATCTTGTAATTTATATATTAAAAAATTATACAAATTATATATTAATAATCTATATATTAAAACGAATCAAACAAGATTACACATGACTATTTTTAGGCTTACACATTAAGAGAATTTGATGAGTCAAAGTGCTTAGATGAACAGTTCCAACAGTTAAATGTGGATAAAAGATAATGGAACGGAGGTAGCAATTTTTACTGAAAAAAGTCAATAATAGACAAATACTCTTACTATCACTCCAACGAATTCAACTTTACTTTCTTTAAAATTAGTGTGTCTATTTAATTTAGGACCTTATGAGAGTGCACCTCATATTCATCCTTTGGGCCGGCCTTGTATATGGGTGAATATTGTTATTCAAACATGATTGTAATTACATTTTAAAAAAATACTACCTCCGTCTTAGTGTATTTGTCCAGTTTGACTTTTTTGAATCAAATTGCTCAAACTTTAAACTCCAATTACTTTGAATTTATATGACATATTAGTATAATGAAATACAATTTTGAAAGTTCTCAATACGATAAACCCAATAAAGTCATTTTTATGTTAAAATACATTACGATTTTTATTTAATTGAAGCTCAAAGTTTGTCCAGTTTGACTCGAAAAAGTCAAACTGAAGAAATACACTGGGACGGAGGGGTATTATATACTTCGTATGTAATATGTGTAAGGTTTTGATTTAACAAATACAAATACTTTTTGCATACTTTTTGCCTTTAAACTAAAGTAATATGATGCCTTTTGAAATGTCCCAAAATTAACTTTTTGTAACATTAAATTAAAGCAAAATGATGGTTTTCGAAATGTCCCAAAATTAAGGCTTTTTTAATGTCGCATTCCAATATATTTTTTTAAATTATGTGAAATGATCAATTATTTCTCTTTGCAATGGAGGCCACTGAGGGAGAAATATTATTTAGGGGTATCTTATTAAACACGAGTATGTTTCATGACGAGTATAGATGCAGACCAAAACGTGTTTGCGGCCATGCCTTAAAATTGAAACAAAAAATTTGATGGAAAATTAAAAAAAATAGTGCCTTCAACTTTAGAAATTAAAACTACATCCAAATAGATGTATTGATGGTGTTTGATTTGTAATTCCATTCCATTAATTCTTCTGCTTTGATTGTTTTATGTTGAAGTGTTCAACTTTGCAACCGGATTCCATGATGTAGCAAAAGTGACAAAGAGTGCCTATGACAATTGCAACACCACAACTCCTACCTCACTTTTAACGGTTGCCCCAGCAAATATCGTTCTAAATTCTGCTGGCCAACATTACTTCATGTGCACTTTTAGTTAGCACTGTCCCTTGGGTCAAAAATTGGCCATCACCGTTTCTCCTACCTCCCCCTCTCCCTCCATTCCAAGCCCAAGCCCAAAACTACCCCCGAAATCTGCTCAAGGCCCAATCCCAAAAACACCTCAGACACCCACTCCGAGCTCAAGCCCATCTTCGAGCTTGACCCCAACAGGAAATCCAGGGTCAAGCCCAGCGCCAATGCCTCACCTGAGCCCAACCCCAAAATCAAACCCGTCTCCGGCTCCAATCGCAATAGGAAGTCCAAGTTCAAGCCCAACTCCAACAACGAATCTAAGCCCCACCCCAACGGAGAGTCCAACATCAAGCCCAACACCAACAAGAAGTTCAAGGTCAAGCCCAACAACAGCACCACTTCCAAGCCCAACCCCAAAATCAAGCTCGTCTCCGGCTCCAATCACAATAGGAAGCCCAAAGTCAAGCCCAACTCCAACAAAGAGTCTGAGCCCAACCCCAACTCAAGCTCTGAGTCCAGCATCGTCAAGCCCAACACCAACACCTAATTCTTTGAAAACTCCAACTCCTGGCCCTAGCGGAGTCAGTGTGGGCCCACCTGCAGTGGCCAGCTCGCCCGGAGCTTCTCCATCAC